CCCCCCTCCCCCACAGCACTGAGGAGCATCAGCCAATGCCTCTTAATGTTCAGAAAAGCTCACGTCAGATGTGCATTGTCATTAAAATAAAAGCACTGAGTGGGATCAAAGGCTTCTATTTTGAAGTACACACAATGGTACTCGAAATTAGATTAGCCTTGTACTGTCCAGCTCACCCATCTGACTGCATAGGCCGTGTGTGTGTTAGAGCCAGCACAGCACCATGTAGGACCTGACTGCCTCATGTCTTGCGTGGCATTTGCCCCCAATCATAAGATGTGGGTGACTGAACATGTATCAGAAACCATGGTGTAAATAGGTGTACCTGTGTGGGACTCTTATTTTCTGTTTTATTTCTGATGAGTTTGTTACAGTAGCTTGCAGAGATACTAAGTTTGTTATTTTGATGAATGACAAAATAAAGCTCTATTGTGGACCTCTGTGCTGCCTCCTGTGTGAAATTTGTTTGCTGTTTTTTTTGCAGCCCATTTTGGGAGGGTGGGGATGCAATCACTGCACTTTGGAGATGTGCATCTGGCTTTTGCAGCGTTGCAGTAAATGTGATGTTGCACACAGCTAAGTTTAATAGCTAAAAACAAATTGTTGTTGAATCCAGTGGTGGTAGGGAACAAGGAATCACCTTGTAATTTGCATTTCTAATACAAATATCTGCACAAATCTAAATATGCAAATACATTTTAAAACAGTGTGCATACCTTAATGAGCTGCTGCAACTGGGTGACTAAAAGGAAACATGTTCCAAACAGGAGAGCTGACAGGTTAAATGATAGGATGATCAGACGACTTATTCAAGTAGGGAATCCAACCAAAGACTGACAGAAGATGCTGGGTGTTCTCAGCTGTCTAAAATTTGGATCTGGTCCCAATCTTTTATAATGAAGGTTATAAAAGTAACACATACAGGTAGATGGGAAAGTGTCAGGTCAGAAAACTAAGCTAAAAAAACCCCCAAACATACAATTTAATTTGGGACCCATTCTCATTCCACAGACTGAAGTTCTGGTATGATGCAGTCTGAAGCTTTTTTTCATTACCAGGGATGATCTTGTTCTTGATTTTATTCTAACCATATCTATGACGAATCAAAATAATTTAACTGAGTTTGCTGGATGCATGTACCTGAAAGCCTGAATATTTAGTACAAGTATTTTTGTGTCATATGGTACTGAGCAAATGTCTGGAACCACTCCTTATGTATTTGTATTTTACTTCCAATGATCCAGACTTGTACTTTTAATCTATGAAAAATGTTAAAGATATGTTTGATAGGCATAAAGTAGCTATTTTGCACCAACAAGCTGAAAACTTGTTGACAGTGTGAAGTGTGCCCTTGAAAAACTGAGAAACCTAGACAAGTCGGGGACGGAAGAAGTGGCAGCTTTCAAAATCAATAGCACGTGGAGAGTATCTGAAAGTCACTTCCTTAGGAAATAGAAACCCGGCAAAGACTTGACACAGACCTGAGACCTGTGTCCGGTGCTTTGGTTGATCCATCTATGTTTCACTGAGGCGTCATCAGAAATACCCTCAGTGGAGTGGGTGGCTGTCGGAAGATCATTCTCAAGGAAAGGTAACAGGGGGAAGAGGCTGCATCACCAAATTACACAGTAACTAGACTGAAAATCAGTAGCAACAGGTCTCATGGAGTGATGAATCCAAATGTAGAATCTCTGGTTCAAATCATCATCAACATGTGTGGAAGATGTCAGGAGGAAGGTACAGCACCGAGTGTCTACAGTTAAACAACAAAGGTGGTCATATTGAATTTTAAGCTAATTTGAATTGTACGAAGTCTTTTTTTGCCTCATACATTGAATTTCTATTTAAATTTGCACCTATTTCTCATTTTCTCAGCAAAATGTAAAGACAAATGCACAGCACTGTACTGGTGATTTGTTCATTTGCTGTAAAAGTTGAATGAACATCCACCAAGTGTGGTGTTTCCATAATTATTTTTTTTCTAATGGTTGTAGCTTTTATCATAATGCTGAACCGGATGAAACTTGTCTTATGTGTGAAGTTATGTGAGGGGTCTGACCTCCACCCCCCCGGGAGCAGTGCAGGCTGCAGTTGTTTGTGGCTTGGCCAATCATGCATACTCAGAGCTCCCTTGTGGAAGCACATTTAAACATTTAGAGCATTACAAAATGCACCGAGGTGACAGCTAGCACACAGCAAAGGTAACTGCACTACCCCCGATCTGACTCTGCTTCGTCTCGTGTCATGCGCAGTGACACAAATGAGTGGGTTCTTGCTTTCACGCGGCACCAGCTGCAGTTCCAAAACACAGAACGAAAAGGAACACCACGAGCCACCGCGGCGATTTCAGGTGTGAATCGATCACACGAGAAACTCTCATCGTGTTAAAACCAATTATCACAAGACTTTTTTAAAAAAAAGAAAAAAAAAATTACCCTCACAGATGAAGTGTCATCGCAGCCTGCTTATACAAAAGTTGTTAATTACGCTGCACATGTGACACTAGTCTGAAGCTGTCTCCTGCATTCATGCCTTGTCCGAACTGGAGATGACTGTACATGAGGGAGTCAGGGTGAAGATGTGTGTATGTCTCCTAGTGCGCTGTGGTGTCACATGAGACTTCCTTGACAAGCAGCGGAAGCATGAATTCTTGGCTCCTTCCAGCCATGTGCTGCATGTAGCCTGGCAACCGGGCCGAGTGTAGCGCTTTCTGTTCCCAGAGTGAGATCTTCGCTTCAGCTGGCGGTCATGAATTTTGCTGTACTGAAATAAAGAGGGAAGAAGAGTTCATCCTGGAGTACGATCTCAGGTGTAAGCGCATGCACACACACACACACACACACACACACAGAGTTTGCCTGCAGACAGTGATGAAGAAGAGATGCAGTCTTGCTTTGTTTTCTGTGTATTCTTATTAAATTCACAGTGTTCCTCCATATATCACATGTTGAATATTGCCATCCCTATGATTATGGAAACTGGACAATGAAAGATGATGGATGTATGGATGGGATGCAGACAGTGACAACCACATAACCACCTGCAGCACCTACAGCACCTCGGTGCTGGTTCACCGATGTGTCTTACTCTCAGCCAAACTAGCCAATCTAAATTTAGCTCCCCTTGCGAGGCCAGCTTGTTGAAAAATTGATCGATAGTGGAGTTGCTGCTATAGTAACGATCCCTGTTTTAATGGTGGTCAGGTGTCACTGGATCTCCCATTAAGCAGATAGTGAACGACAGCGAGCGCGGCGCAGGACGATGAAACAAAGTCGCCTCTGAAGCCGGTGACATGTCCCGGAGTGGTCACAAGACAGATAAGGTGAGGCTTTATCTTTAAAACCCTCATAACTCTGTGTGTGGTTTCATGAGGGCAGGGTGGGAGACGAATCAACACATCGTTGGCATAGCGATGTCATCGTAGCAGAAGCAGTCTGGTGTGACCTGTGCTTCGTCCCTATCTGCAGGGTGATGACACGGTGGAGCTGTGTGACCGGGGGAGCTGGTGGCTGGGGACACTGAGAGTAGGTGTCGCACTGCTGTTTGGTTTCACGGACTCTCTGAAACCAAGTGTGTGCTTCAGCACAGCCCCAAACCCACATGCCACTTACATGCATGAGTAAAATGACACATCACAACGACAGGCATCAGAAAATAATGACATTAATATTAACCTTCAACTAATCAATGATTTCGATCATTCTGGTTGCTGGAAATTGAGTGAAATTGGCATCTTCAGTGGAATTCAACAGCTGTCTCTCATGAGGTCACCCATCCATGAACTTACTGCAGCATTGCTCTTGCATTGTTCCAAAATGTCAGACTTTGAACTGTTGTATAATAGTTATGAAATTAAGAAATGTGGGTCACAGATTCCCCATGCTCCCACTCTTCCAGGACACACCCATCCCGGGAACCTACCACGTCCGAGACTTCGTTGAGGAGGCTGACCTGAACCCTGTGAAAAAAACTTATGGCTTCAAAGGTGTGGGCAGAAAAACTCAGACCCTGGGTGTGCGTAAGGGGGATCTGCTGCTGCCTGGAGCGTATGAATATACAGACTCCACCCAGGAAGTCCTGATGCACCAGGCTTCCTACTCTTTCAAGAACTGCCCCCGACCTGACATTTTTACCCTTGGAATTAGAGACAAGGTAGCACTGAGACTCATTTACTGATCCTTTTTGAAAGTTTGCATAGTTTTTGCTTTCACTTGAGACAGAAGCCAAATGTAACCAACCAGTTGCTGCTGAGTATGAAGCTTCTTTACTTGAGTTAACACAACAAAGGTTTACATCGTGAGTCATGTACAGCCCAGTTCAATATTAGGTGGCTCCAGTAACTACCTACTAACCGGTAAAACAAGGTGCACCTCTAAATTGTTCCTCTTTTTTTTTAGCGTAAGGAAGTTATACTTAACATTTAATCACTGAGATAGCTTAAATAACCCAGTATGACGTCAACAAATCAAGGTGGGGAGCGTCTTTACGACTATCAGTTTCTTACAGGCATTAGTTTATACACAGCTCTCTTAAGGTCCTGCAACAGCATTTCAGTTTAGACATTTTAACACGTCCTGTTGCGGATTTGCTGCTGTGTTTAGGATCATTGTCCTGTTGCATGACTCAGTTTGGGCCAATGTTGAACTGTTGGACAGATGGCCTCACATTTGACAGCAGAACACTCTACAGAGGAGTTCATGGCTGACTCAATGAGTACACGGTTCCCAGGTCTCGTGGCTGCAAAACAAGCCCAAATAACCAGCCCTCCACCACTGTCCTTGACACTTGGTATCAGGTGTTTGTGCTGATATGTTCTGTTTGGATTTGCCAAACGCAGCGCTGTCCACTACACTACAAAAACTCAAAATCTTACCAAATATATTTGTCTTATTTTCTAGTCAAAATTATCTCATTACACTTAAAAGAAGACACAATCAGCTACAGGGCAACATTTCAGTGAGTCGAAGGAACTTGTTTCAAACAGTGAATCTTGAAACTAGAGAAAAACTAGAGAAGTTTCACTTGTTTCATTGGCTTTTTTTTTTTGTTTTTACTTAATACAAGATATTTTAGCTTGACAACCCTTTGTTTTTTGCATTTTCTCTGCGCATTGTATTGTTTGGGGGTGATCGTGGCTCAAGAGTTGGGAGTTCGCCTTGTAATCGGAAGGTTGC